CATTCTCTGAAAAAACGAGAGGGATATGTGAAAAAATCACAAAATGAGAGCATTTTTATCATAATATATGGATCGCCCCTTGTATATGTAGTTATTTAACGAAAGTCTTTGGTACCGTGGATCATAATATCCTATTGGATAAACTTGAAGTTTATGAAATATTAGTAGAACCCCACACTTTCTTGGTCTAAAAGTTATCTTGAAAATAGGAAAATTATAACAGAATACATGATACATGATTTTTAAATTGACCCAAGTACTAAGACTGATATGAAATATCAATCATCTGCTTCTAATATTGAATATGGAATTCCACAAGGCTGTTTTGGGCCCCTCTTATTCATTTTTTCATAAATTACATATATTTCATCTGATGGATTAAGATTTGTCCTATCTGCAGATAACACAAATATTTTACTGACTGATGATGACATTGGTAATTTAGAAAATGATATAAATGAGGAATTGAAGGAGGTTTATAATTGGATAATATCTTATAGATTAACACTCAATGTAGAAAAACAAAATTTATGATTTTTGCCATAAAAAAAGAATCAATAAAATTGACCTTGAAGTAGAGCCAATAAAAATTGGAGCATTTTTCTTTTTATTCAATTTCCATTATTTGCACTTCAGTCCACAAAAATTCAGATAAATATGATGGTAAAATGATTGTTTATGAAAATGTTAAAGATATAAATATGTATGTAGGATTTATTTTGGCTTTTCATGGTCATAATCTGTATACTGCATGTGTCATGAACAATTTCCAAATGTTCGCTACTTGAGACATTATTGCTAACAAAACAGACTCTCATACCATACAATATATGCTCTTCAAATGGTTTCAACACAATTTCCATCAAGTAAACATATGTAGTTATCTCTAAGAGAAGCTAGACATGTCTCCCTTGGATAATAAGGCTTGACTGACTTCAGCTTCTTTCAAAACTGGCACAATATGTCTCCAACCTATCATTTAAGCCAAGCATGACCGTCATATAGTTTAGTTTATATAGTTTATTATAGTGCCACAGGTTCATTCAATTTCAATTTTTCAATTTTATTTATTATACCATCACCCAAATAAAGGGTATTAGGCAAAAGTACATACAGTAAATAAGTATTTAACAATTAAGTATTTCATAACAAACATATTTACAATTGCTTCCCAGCCTCATTTAAAAACTTACATAATGCTAGCAATACTTTACTATCAGATTGTAACAGCTTGGCATATTTAAAATACATATACAATAAAATACAATACTAAAATACGTTAATAAAAAACCTCTAGCCGATGCCGGCTTATGAGACACTTATATGAATACATAAATAGCATCAATATTCCAATGTTATTACAAACGTTCCAGATTAAATGCCCTATTCTGAAACATTTTATATAAAGAAGAAGCAATTTTCTTTTGACTAGATTTACATGTCATTATAGAGTGGAGTGTAATATTATCAACACTAAAATTATCGCATGAATCTTTTAAATATGAAAATAGGTAATTTCTGATATCTATATAGTGTATACAGTCTAACAGAAAATGTTTTTCGTCTTCTACTTGGTCACTATCACATAAAAGACATTTTCTGTTGTGTAATGGAATGTTATTAAAGCGACCTGTTTCTATGGCTAACTTCAATGTACCAGATCTAAATTCTGCCAGTATTTTTCTATGGTGTCTTGGCAAGTTTTCCTTTATAAACTGTTCAGTGCAGACACCGAATTTAAATTCCCTATATGTTCTTAATTTATTTCCGTTTATAAGGTTCCCCTTGTCATTCCATATGTTATTTAAGAATGGGTCTTGACTTTGGAAGTGTAGTTGAACATTTTGGACTGTTTGCTTGATATTGATTGGTTGTTCCATTTCTAAAATGTGGCCCTGGTTTGCTTTTTGAATAATATTGAGCACTTTGTTGTCCCAGCTTGACTTTCTCCTTACTGACCAGCTATGTACCTTAAAGTTAGTTCTATTATGGTCTGTATTCTGAGGAATAGCCTAACACATTGGAGTTTTGTTTATTTATAGGTAGCTCCCAGCCCAAGTCTCCTCAGACTGCTTTATTGTTTGTCCTTGAGCCTACTCCTAAATAAAACTTCCCTGCTCTAGCCTGGATCTTGTTGAGACACCTATGCTCAGTAAGCCCAATGATAGATGTTCCATAGTTAATGATTGGTTGCACAAGTGTATCATAAAGCTTATCAAAAACATAAAAGTCCATATCTCCAAAATGTTTTGCTTATTATCATAGAGCTTATCAAAAACATCAGCTGACTGTTTCTTCGGGTGGGTGTAGGACATGTTTAGTAATTGAATGTTGATCTTGTATATTCATTTTTACAGATGCCACATGCATTGACAATGAATTGTTCTTTCAATTTTCTAATTGAGACAATTTTCTGTTGAGACCATTTGAAGATATATTTTAGGTATGAAATTCCAGCAGCGAAGTCTCATCCAGAGAAAATTTGGGAATTTTTCATGACATATGCAGAATACAAATCATGACCACGACAAGCCAAAAATAATCATACCTACATATTTTTTATCTTCAATATTTTCTTAAATAACCATTTTACCAGTATCCGATTTTTTAGGATTGAACTGCATAAATAAAGAGAATGGAATCAATAGAAAATGTTTCAGTTTTTATTGGCCCGCGAGAATGGGCTGCTCATATGAATGTAATTTTGATAATCCTCCTGTGAGACTCGACCTTCCTTGAACTTCTTGTACAAAGCATATACACTTCGCTCAGACATAATAGGGTTCCCCATAAGAATTTCTCAAGAACCTTGTTGTATCATGCACTGATTCACTGAGATGCTCTGGGGTTGTTCATTACACATTCTTGTATCAATTAAGGTTATCTGTCTGATTCTGCTTTTTCTGCCATTAAATACATTTCATGGATCATTTTGCTACCTTTCGAATATTGTTACTCCGGCAGAAAGATGGGGTTTTCACTCGTGTGTGACTCCTAATCTTGTCAACAATAAACATCTATGTTTCGATCAAAAAATTTGAGTAAAATGTGATTTTCGAAAACTGGTGATCATATATCCATGACATTTTTTCTGGGAGGTCCTGAACATGTGTGTAAGATTGCTGTGTCTCCCCTACCCCGAGATTTTTCCATTAGCGGCTATTTTTTATCAATTTTCAAACTTAATATGTAAATGATTTACAAAGTTGAATATATAAATGCATCATATTACACAATTATTTGAGGTATGTTACAAATGGGTAAGAGTAAAATGCATTTGGACTTCTTTTATTTGAGGAAAAAAAAATTCTGCCATTTCGGAAGGCTTTATTTATTTTAAAATATATTTCATGCAGTAAATATACATGTAGAGCCAAACATGTGATTCTATGTAATATTCTCATTATGTACCAGTAGAGACATACTGTATGGCATATTATATAATTAGAAGCAAAATAACCATGAAAATATGTCAATGCTGCAACCTTTGGCTTAAATACACTTTACTCTTATTTTCAACACACGAGATTGCGTTTTCACTAGCCGAGATGCACCAAAATTAACATTTCTCAGCTAATACTCAACCAACATCCACAACTTTTACACTATATTATAGCTCGGGTTGAGTCCTCGGATGTTATTTTTAAAAACTATTATATATTTAGTAATGTAGATCCTGGGCTGTGATTTGTCCCCATCCCCATTTTCGATATTTCATTTAAAAGCATGTAAAAGTTGATTCCTATAGACAGTTATATAACAGTGAGAGGGCACATTTTTCATTGCACGTGTTTTAGTTCTATTGTGTTACATTGGCTTGATACATACAAGCAAGACATCTTAGTGATACTGTTAGTGACATATTATGCTTATAGTGTCATTACTATCAGATCATTTGCAGACCTAGTTTTGTGAATCAGCATCCTAAAAGTGGCTTATAATGTACCTTACAAAGCCGCTAATGTATTTGTGATTATTGTAATAATTTGAAATAAAGAAATACAATATAAAAAAGTGATACTGTTCAAGTAAGTGGGGTGCATGCTCTCATTCAAAGTCTAAGCGTGCTGATCCTAGCTACTGAGGTGACCTGAGATGGCTTGGGTCAACTTGTAGAGTCTTTGGTGATGTTCACCGGCCAGTTGGGAGCATTTTTTCGCTGAAACACTGAATCACTTCTGCTTTGATTTGTTGTAGCTAAAGTCATTATTCACTTTTTGATCACTAATTAGTTTTGGTATATTTTGCTTGGTTTTAGTTTGTGAACATATTTTGGTATTTGTAACTATTTTGGACTAAACTTTGAAATTACCAATAAAATTAGGAGTATTAAGGAATCGATTTATTCTTTACAATTTTTGATTTATTGAATCTACCGAGCAATGCAACGACACATATTGCATAACCAGTCCTCGGTATGGAAGCAAGTATTTGGGTCTTGTTAACCCCGGTGTAAAAGGGTGGGAGGTCCTATCAAATGATGGTCCTACTCTACATTTATTTATATGGTGACCTCAATACAACTCTTTCCCTCATTATCTTATACGCAATCAGGGCCAATAAGGGCCGTTAAGAAAGGGGACCATAATCCCTGGGGGACCATCATTTCTTTCACATCGGCTTGCGGGATATGCTTATAAACTAATACACAAGGGTGCAAAGTGCTCCTAATCCCTCGAATAAGATGATAGGAAACATCATTTCTTCCAAACAAAGCAAAGGTGGAAATTGAGCAAAGAGATACATTTAAAACAAAACAGGTATAATGCCTGACTAAAAGAATTTTTTATTCCATGAAAAAAACTTTGTTTTTCATTCATGTACAAGATAAATGCATCCGGTGGTCATATGGCAACCAAGAAATGAGCTTCAACATAGAAAACGGGTCTCATCACAAAAATGGTGTGCTACAGAGCCAGAATTGTGCCGAAGATTAATAAAAAATGTTCTGATCTCAAATTCGTCTTTTTGAAAGGATCAATTGTAAGACATAAGCCATGGGTAATTTGAAAAAGGTCTCTTTATGTTTTGTAAACAAATAATCAAAATATTAGAAAATCTGTGATAAGATCCCTTTTCCAGTAGAATGGCTCAAATCTTGAAATGAGCAATGATACCGAATGGTGATTTTGAATTTTAGCGTCCAAATATTACAATCGCTTTAAAACATTTGTTCGGTACTGTCCATTGTTCCCCGGGGATAAATATCTGCACACAACATATGTACCCTGTGCTGATTCATTCAGGCCACAGCCGACTTCGGTTGTAGTTTTCCAAACAACCTAGGGGAAAAAAGCATCACACGTTTTAGTTTACTTAGAGAATCTAGTCTTCATTTTGTCTAAAGCCTCGGTCCATTTGCTTTGCAGCTGGTGTGTATCGACCAAATGATCCCGAGCCCTATCTGACATTGATAATATGAATATTTAAAGTATTCAATCAAACAGCTTAAAATGTTGATAGACTAATCGATCTTATCTGAATGGAGCATTCAATTTGTATTGACTGCATAAGAAACTCTCCCTCAAGTATTTGCACAGGGATTCATAAGCCAATGTCCAAAATCCATTTGAGATAAAACAGACCTATACTACGAACTTCGTATTTTATTTTAGATCAAGAGAGTTGACATATGGGACAAAAATACAGTTTTAAAAGCTAGAAATGGGTATGCATTTGAACTACATTTCGGAGATTTTTTACTAATAGTCAATGATTTGTAACACCCTAGTCTATAGCGAGGTACGGGCACGTTTTCTTAACCGGGAGACGTGTTATTCCTGTATAATTTTTAGCCACATGATATCTGATTTACTACTATGTTTAATCAGTCATAAGTTCATTCTGTATAGCCTACATTAAAAAGTATTTTTCCCTGTTTTCGCTTTGTGGTCTTTGTCAAGAAAAACTAGGCCGGTCGTAGAGACACACTAGAGTTCATTGTACGCCTGTGAGGCGACCATAGTTTTTATGCCTCCTCAAAATCTAAATACCCAGCACCAAGGCAGTTGCAAATGTAACTGCTAAAGTATTTGACCGTTCAAATTCTAAAGCGACCATAGGAATATTACCAAATACTGTAGTATGACCACACACTCTACACTATGGAACTGTATTTCCGAGGAGATTATTAAGAATTAGGTCCATAGGGCAATATTCCGTATTTGCAATTAGAACATAAAACATACTTGCGTGAAGTGCCCGGTTACTCCTCCCCCATTACCAGCCGATGTATCATAATTCCAGTTTGGTTCTTCGGCATACCTGAAAAATCAATGAAGAATTAACTGCGAGTCAAATAAATTAAGAACATGTTCCCTAAGATGTACATGGTGTTTGTGGACACCCCCTTTTATATTAAATATGTAGCATTGACATTCTATATAATGTTATATATATAGAGATTATCCTATATGAGGTTCAGGATATTGGGATTATCCCGAGGCCAATATAATATATCTGCCCGAGGGCCGTTATCCCTCTGGCAGATATATTTTATTGGCCTCGGGATAATCCCAATATCCTGAACCGACTGTAGGATGATCTGTTTATCCCATACCAATCACATTGTTCAATTCAGTGTTGCAACCAATCGTGGAATTATTTTTAAATATTCATGTCCAGTTTTTTATTCTCGTCCGTAGCCGGATTTTCCTGTTCAAATATTTGATTGTTAAAGGGCATCATATGCTCCTTCCCTTCTCTAAAGCATCAAACAGATCGCGATTGTCTGCGTTTTTTCTCCATTGTCGTTTACAGTATGCGAACGTTACAAAAACAACCAATACGGGAACAGCGATTATGACGTAGCGGGCAGATATACTATATCTGCCCGCTCGGAGCGGGACGTAAAGCTATATCTGCCCGCTGATGAAAATATAAGTTTTTACAATCCGGCTTTATGTACCCGTAACACGTCCAAGTATGGGATAAATAATGTTATACCTCGATCAAGGGGAACAATACTAGAGGTTTTCTTGATTTCCAACGCCTTACCTGTGCCGAAAGAGGTGATTTCGCAGGGATGCAAACTTATTTATTCCAATGGTCACTAGTATCACACCGGAATAGCCTGACAACTGATACCGTTGTCACAAATGGCGGGCATTACGTCGCTTTAACTCTTCAATCCCTTGGGCCTTGTTTCATGGGACTTTATCGTCGCTAATTCGTCGCATGCATTAAGTTCTTGTGATGATATATCATATTAAATCCCAATTTAGATCAAATTGGGTCGTAAAACGCAAGAATATAGCGTCTTTGATAATGTCAATGACAACAGAATCTGATTTTTAAATAATTTACAATATGCCGTTGTCTTTGTGAATTATTTAAAATTCAGATTCCGTTGACATTGACGATATCGAAGACGCTACGACTCAATTTGATCGAAATGTGGATACCATATGATACATAATCACAACAGCTGATTACATGCACAGAATTAGCGACGATAAAGTCCCATGAAATGAGGACCAAGTGATTAAAGAGTTGAAGCGACGGTTATGTGATAACGGTATCTGACTTTAATGTTGTCAGGCTATTCGGGTGTGATAATATATAAAAATGTGATATGCATTTCCTTACATAACTAAAATTTTACTATTTATTTCTATGGCCACTATTATGTATAAAAAAATGATATGCATTTCCCGTACCCTACATGTATGTACATCTAAATATCAATATCATCTTAGTATTCATTTTCAATAATTGGAAGCTATATGTACACTCCACAGTTTCACTTGGATATTCTATTCACTTAATTTTTGGTCAATTGTTTGGCTAATTTTATAATTTATAAGGATCAAACCGTTACTCCCCCTGTACATATTCTTCATCGAAATTATCGTTGTAATACTCTAAATATTGTATCTGTCCTGTGGATAAAACAATATACAGTGCGTATCAAAAAAAAACGCAACAGATTGTTATCTCGCAAAAGCACAAAAAAGTAATAACAGCATTGATTTCATTCAATGTACCATAAAGCAACGTTTCTCTTCTTTACAATGATATATTATTCATTGAAATTCGGTCATGGTTGGATGAGTAATCATTCCATTTGCAAAGTGGGCCAAATTAGCTTGGGACCAAGTTACAAACATCGCAAAAGTCAGTGTACGGAGCCCGATGCAAAATTGGAAGAAAACATATAACCAATGCTGACTGCATCCTTTTCATTCAATGTACTAAAAAGCCAAATTACTCCTCTTTGCAATGGAGTATGATTCATTCACAGGGAGTCATGGCTGGCCAAATAATCATAAATTTTGCAAAGTTGGGCAAAGTTCAACCCGGACCCAAGTTTTAAACATTGCAAAAGTAAGGGGCTATTGGATGAAGGTGTGACAGGTGTGGCGTCGACAGTAAAGACTGTTCATACTCATACTCTTGCAAGAATTCATCCTATACCCCTCCAAATAGCCACCACTTCCTTGCACATAAAGATGGGCTCATCTGTCCACGTCATGCATGGTTCAGCCCTGAGTCATCTGTGAGTTAAAGCAGAGAAAAGCAGCCCGTGGGCAATTCTTTCTCGAGGTTTTGCAATATCTGGTGGAGGAACTATGTGCATAGATGCTCCTGAGATAGCTCGAAAATAAAAGTCACAACAATTCAAGTAAGGGGAACTTCCATTGGCACTTATATAGCCCTTGCACTGATTTTTGCAACATCTAAAACTTGGTCCAGAGCCGATTTTGACCCGCAAATGGGAGGATTTCACACCCAACCATGACCACATGTGAATGAAGGACATATCATTGCAAAGAGGAGAGACGTGGCCTTATGGTACATTGAATGAAATTGATGTAGTCATCACTAGTTTTGTGATTTTACGAGATAAGTACATGTTGCGTTTTTATACGCCCTGTACAGTATCAATGTCTAGAAAAGGAAGATAAAAGTACCAAACTAGTCAATACCATTTTACAGAAAAATCGTTCGACATCTATTCTAAATCTTGGAGTAAAAAAAGAGCGATGCTTACTATTCTACCCCACCACGTGACAACATCGAAAGGGATACAGGCTTCCTTAAAGGTGAAAATAGAGCAGATATTCTCTAGCTTTGTCTATATGTTTTTTGGTAATGATACACTGTAAAGTGCTCGATGGATTTGTACAATGTATATAGTAGGACACTTGGCATATGTAAAATCTAGTATTCCTCAAAAATATGGAAATAACCAAACGTCTTCTACTTAAAATTTCACTGCATCACTTCTAAAGGGATGTTGTTGACTAAAGTATGGTGGTAGGGGAGAATGTTTATGTGTCGTGCCCTTACCACGCATCGACGGCTGCTTTACATGGATCATGTTTTCCAGAAGTAGAGGCCCAGTATATGTTCTCCCCTGTGGAGCCATGTTGAAGCCCTCCTAATGAAGGGAGGTAATCCGCCCATTGTTTTGCCTCACCCGCCAATGTATAATTGTACGTTAAACGAGGTGTATTCTGGTGTCTATCTCGGTACATGTTGTGTGTCTCAAGACAACTAGTATCAAAGTCTGAAACCATAAAGATTTCAAGTTTTAGATAATTGTTTGTGAGATCATGACTTGATGACTCAAAAATACAGCTTTAAAGGGTTCCGATTAGCATCCCGTATAAAAACAATATGGCGGCTCCAGGCGAATCAACTGGATCAGTCCATTTTTAAGAAATAAGGGGAGTTCTGTAAAATCCAGTTTATTGAAATTGTCTTTGAGATAAAGTAATCCGTTTATAATGATTTTGAAAACGTTATCCAAAGAGTGATTGCGTTCAAATAATACATGTACAACAGCCAATATAAATTCTTGTATTAGAAACCGGTTTGTCTTGCTTTGTTTCATTTCGGTAAGATATTTCATATGCCAAGCTGTGTGCTATTACGTTATGGGGAAATTTAGATGCCAATTTTTCCTTATTATACACAAATAGAAGATCCTGAAACTTCAACCATAAATGTGGAATTGATTTGTCAAAATAAAAATCAACCTTTTATAAATGTGTGACGATCTATAATATACTTATGCTATAAAACAGTTAGAGGTGTTGACACAAGACCTCGAACCTGTGAACCCTTGAGTATTATTCCGGGATCGGGCCTTTTATACTAAACGGTGAGCAACACCAGAAACGAGCGTTCGATTTGCTAAACGATATGCGTCACCCTTTAAAAGTGCAGAAAACGAGACGCAACTGTTTTTAAATTATACTTAATCAAAATGTACTATCACAATTCGATCAAAAGATGACTGAATTCCCCAAAGTGAAAACTATCGAATTTTACAATAATGTGTTATTTTCAATAAGGATGGTTCTTATCATTCGGGAGAATTAAAACATTTCACCGATTTTTGGACTTTTAATCCGTAATAAATCACCAATCTATAATATTTTGCTGAAAACCTCATTTTTTCAGAAAAACTCAAGTTGAACGAATCTCAACAAGTAGAATCCGGTTGTATAGTATTGCTAAAATCCATGTTTGAAAGTTAGTATAGGGTTCTTAAATGTGACATTAAAGCTTAACTAAGGTCTTCTGACATTTTGTTCAGTATTAATTTGGCACTATCTCTGAAATGTGTACCCAACTTTCAAATATCTTGAAATTTCTTGACAAATTCAATATTCTCCATATTTGATTATGTATCTCACATAATGAAATAGGATTACATATTAGGGATATGTTGGCTTTCTTACAAAAGTTACCTTTTTAAACCATACCCAACAACAATTTGTTTGGTAGTTTTAGGTCAATCCAAGACACGCCCCTTAATAAGAATTAATTAACATTAAAAACCTCGATAAGCATGCGTTGATTATTCTGACAAATGAACAATTTACATACCTGGTCCAGGGCCACATTGTAGCTCTTCGGGAGACCATATCTTTGTAGAGCATGTTAAATAAGCCAGTTTGCTTGCATCGTTATTACATGTCCAGACCTCTATATCGAAGCCGGGATATAGTTCCACAGTTGCATCAATTGGCGTAGGCAATTTGTCTCGGACAAGACAGCTTTCTAAAAATATAGATAATTTGAGGTCAGCTAATTATCACTAAAAGATTGTAAATGACCACTAAAAGATCGCCATAAATTCTCAGGGTTTTTTCTTAGTTTTAGACCTATAAGTGTCCTTTATGTTTCCTATCCATCTAACAATATCAAAACTAGTTATTTATGAACGTTTTTATTTGGTTATAATCATTGGGTTGGTGTACATTTCATCTTATTTTTCAAGTTCAATTGATTCTCAATACCCTATGTATTATTTTGATACTTGAATTATGATGGTTATTTCAGTTTCACTTTTCTCGTCAATTAAAATCTAATACAACGAACCTGTCGCGAATGGGATTGGGGTTTCACATAATTTGCAAGCTGTGCTATCACCAATACGTTTACCTTGTGCTATCAGAATCCCAAAGTCATTCCAAACTGCCGACTTTTTCGACTTCGATACAGGTGTAAAAGGGTAGGAGGTCCTATCAAATTATGGTCCTACTCTCCATTGATTTATATGGTGATCTCAATACAACTCTTTCCCTCATTATCTGATACGCAATCAGGGCCAGTAAGGGCCGTTAAGAAAGGGGACCATAATCCCTGGGGGACCATCATTTCTTTCACACCGGCTCAACTTATTAATTTCTTTTCTACATCCGTCATACTGATAATGCGCCCGATTTGCGAACGATGATGTAGGAAATTTACGAACCGGTATTACCAACTACATTTGATATGACAAAATAAACTGAATTTTGTTTTGATATGCTTGGTTTAGTTTCATCGGTGATCTATGAGAATGAATTTTTATATATTGTTTTCATCCACTAATTGATATCAATATATCATTATCTGCACTCATTTGCAACGCCCAATATATAAGGGTTATGTACTGGGAGATATTGGATATGGGGTTTATCCAGAGGGAGATATGCATATCTACCTGAGGGACCGTAGGAACCCAATATCCAAACCGACCGTACATAACTGCTTTATCCTATACCAAGTAGAGTTTTCAGGGGCATATGGCCATTTCAATAGTCCAAGGTGTGAAAATAATTAATCATTCATACGCAAAGTCATTTTATTGCATTACCGGAAGCGGGAAGATATGCACCGGAAGTGGGAAGATATGCACCGAAGCGGGAGATATGGCGGGAGATATGGAGGTTCTGGATATGGAAACCTCAAAATCAGGATACGGGATATATCTTACCAACTTATCTCCCTAAAACTCGAATTGGCATAGGATAAGACATGATATCAACTCATGGATTAAAATGATATCACCTACCGAGCTCACCTTAGTTCTATATATTCATGAATTGAAATAGATATGGCGCAATCCTGAAGTAAATGGCTAGTATGTTAGTCCATGTAACGGTTAATTTGAAAGTTTCATTGACAATCAAAACGATGGATTAATTATTCCACAAATCGGATCATAAAAGAACCAATATTAAGAATTCAACCAATCATGTTTCAAAGAATACGATTGATCTAATTTATCCTCGACTTCTATTGTACCAAAGTCAATAAAGGCCTCTTTGATAAGCACATGTTATCATGCTTCAAACAAAGTGACACGGTCCAAAATATTTTGAAATAAACCAATATTTGTTATGGTTACCCCCATCGGCCTGATAAAACCATTTAAAGCCAGAAAAGACTTGTTTAAATTTTGAATATAGATGGCTCTTATTATTTCCTGCTATGTATATTTTTCTAGAAAGCATCCAAAATGGATACAATATTTAAGAAAAACAAACGATTTTCACAATTATGAATTTAATCATTTTCCCATTTGAATATTAAATAACCTCACCAACTGTTAACATAGTGGATCTTTTGGTATATATTATATTTAAGATCGTAAGGAATAGATTGGAATGTAACCTATACATGCTTCTTGCAAATTTTTCATAACCCTATTAAGCTGATTCTGCCTTTAAAAGCAGATGCCTTTTTCTTTTGCTATATACAGAAAAATTGCCAATTGATGATACATCAATGAGGCAAGATGACATATTTATCATGAAGCTATCTCTTGTTTAACACAGTTTAAATGGAGAATAACCGTTTTACTTACCATCACTGTCACTGGCAACAAAGTTTCCCGAGAATACCACGAACAGCACGAAAACGCCAAAGCACATGTACATGATTGTTGGTTTGCTGAGCTGAGCAATGATTCCTTATTGTTGGTCTCATGTATTTATACCGTAACCACATATATACATGCATGATCAACCAATCAACGTGACGCATTCAAATGCATGAATTAATGAGTTAATGATAAATTATTTTTGTCAGTATTCTTATTATTAGACTCCAGATAAAACCTGGGATATATTGTTTTTGCTGCTCATCACTACAGTGTATTCTAATTTCATTGTTTGCACTCATTCATTTTAAGAAATTGCATTAAAATACCTTCTCTTTTTTCTTTTCTTTTTTAGCACTATCTGGGCGGTCCTGAAATGATCATACTTTTAAAGAATCGGTCAAAAATTGAAAAAATAATGTCAGTTTGTTATCGTAATACCCCCCCCCCCCACACACACACACACACCCCTCCCTCGCATATCTGCCGAAGATTATCGCCACATTTTCCCGAACACTTGGACATGTAGCTAATTAGCATATACCATCAACCTTGATATGAACTCGAATCGCAAGGGAAACATCTCAAATCTAAAAAAACTAGAAACTAAAATCTGGAGTCTGAAATTGAACTTGTTCAAACGGCACGTTTTCATACACAGTAACAAACCACCTTCTTTGACCTGTATAACTAAATAGGTCATCTATTTAGATCTTTATTTTGACGTTGAAATAAGAGGATGATAAATGGTCAGAAAACGAGTGTCAAAGGTCAATAGACAATACATATTGGAAGTTAACTTGCTGGAAAACATGATATTGTTATTTCAAAAAATAAACATTACTCGTATTATCAAAATCCTCAGCTATCTCCAAGTTAATGTTAACCTAGATGAGGTGGCTTATACTTCCGAGCAATGATTAAAGAGAGAATCAGATATAGCGAGCAGGCTAAACAAAAAGTTGTTTCAATTTTAGAATATTTTTGGCTCATGTCATTCCTTGTCATGTCTATTTTCTAAACATCACAAAAGTGATACTTCATTTAAGTAAAACTAACGATTTTTAACATAATGTAGTATTTTTCTATAAGAATGGTTACCATTCTTATCATTTGGGAGAATTTAAACATTTTCACCCATTTTTGCACTTTGAATCATTAATAACTTCACTAATTTATAACATATTGTGAATCTTTTGAGTGATATTGTATTTGATATTGTAAGGAATAGATTGGTATGTCAATTATACAAGTTGCTTGTGCATTGTCCTTTACCAATCATATATTTTTAATTTGTCATTATCATCATACCAAACATTTAGATTTACCATGTACAGGGTGTCCAAAAAACGCAACCCAAAGAAATTACTATATCTTGGAAAATACAAATCCAATTGTGTTATTTTTTTCAGAAAAGAAAGAAAAGACTGTGTGTGTATAGCTCCTGTTGTTAGTTAGTTGTAAAACATGATGCCCTGGATACCTGATCAAAAGACAGTTGTTCTCGGAAAATACGAAAAACGCAGGCATCATAAAAGGCATCATGTTTTACAACTAACGATCTACATGAGCTATACATACTCAGTCTCTTCTTTCTTTTCGGAAAAAAATAACATAATTGAACCAGTATTTTTCAAGATATAGCGATTTCTTTGGGTTGCGTTTTTTGAACACCCTGTATGTATACTTTGATCAAATGGCGACAAAGAAATCAGTAAATATAAACGTATAAAAGTATAAAAGAATTGAATAGAACGACTCCAAAATTCGTAAGTGTGACTTTTTGCTATAAATTGACGTCATAAATATGATAAATCCCAAACCCAGCAATTGTGCTCAATAAGGGTATCTTCTGAGACATGGAGTTGAATTGTTAGTTACGTTCAGAGGAATACACCATTTTAAAAAAAAGTTCTCAGTCCAATAAAACTTTGTGAAAAATTTCAGATATAAAATGAAATTACAACCATTTTGATATAAAATCTGAGGTACTATCCTACAGATTCAGATGTCTCTTCTCAGATCAAAATTCTGGGTAGGGGTCACACATATAGCAATAAACTTGGAAATGTAAGAAAAGTATAACCTTTAATCTTTCCCAGTGATCCATAAATATGTTATACATCCTATATGCATACCAAAATTATGTCAGATGTGATATAAAATGTGTTAGAAAAACGGTTACATCCTATCCACAATTTCACTGCTATTTCACTGCTACCATGTTTAAGACAGGTTTTGGCACTAACATCATTTTCTGTTATTGTGTTAGTGTTTATTTCAAACCTGTCAGTTATGGCCAGTTTGGGACGGGCTTTACAAAGGTATGAACAATATAACATTTAGAAAATGATGTCCTAGGCTTAAGGGAAATTGTGTCACTGTAGTAAATTATAATTAATGACGTAATTTAAAGTATTTACAATATTGATGGAGATGTAATTTGACTTTATTTCCAATACCTCCAAAGTTTCTCAATTTCTTTCCTCAATTACAATAGGTCGAACATTGGTGATAAATCTTTATAATGTCCATACGTTATGTATCCTCAAACACATCAAAAATATTTTGAAACATTAGTGATGTCACTAAGGTAACAAAAACTTTTTGAAAAAAATTGAATTTTTTTTAGATATCATTGAACCATTGGTTTCTATGAGAACTAAAATTTTGAAATGCATTTTTCTCAGAACCATTTTCATGCACTGATAAGTTCATTTCTCGCTTGTTTATCAACCGATTTTCTTAATTTTTTCGGCAAAAAACATGGGAGGATGTATGCTATGCATTGGTACGAATTGTGGCTAATTAGAAGATATAAGTGACCTCTAAAAGTTGGTTTTAAATAAATTCACAAAATTTGGAACAAAAAGTCTATCAAAAACCACTTTTTGAAATTAAAAAAAAAAGTTTCACATATCACACTTTGATAACATTGGGTAAGAGTACAAATACGCCAAAGTGGTTTAAACTTTACATGGGGCCTTTAAGAGGTTACCCTTAAAGGCACTTTCTGGCGAAATCTTAAACAAATGTTGCATCAGCAATGTTAATTTAAACAGTGTGTTGGAGGATACAAAATATTAAGGCTCTGTATCTGCTGTAATCCGGTTTTGTATCACCATGAACAAAACAAAACAAAATTTACAAAAAATCATCATTTAAGCTCTTTTTGAGAAATAATAATATGATATATATAATATTTTCAGTATACATCGCATGTTTATGATAACCAGTTGTGATGACTTTAGAATAGCACTCATCAAATGTTGCTGGTATCAACACACACGACGCAGGCTTTAGAAGAACAATTGCTTTTAAAGCTATCAATTATCGTTATTTTGACCATATAGTACTATAGAAAGTCATGACCTGATTACAAAACTAAAGATCAAACAGATGCAATTTTTCACTTCAGTATTTGAATTGCAAGTTTTGGCCTCATTTCCGAACAAAAAAATAATTAGAAACTAAATTATCTACCCCATTGATTTATCATTACCCATACTTCTGCTATTTTGAGTATATCATACGCAAAAATCTACTTTTTGCCGATCCTGTACATATTGACCTATTTATGTATTCTAGCTCACTATAGTAGATTGTAGTAGTCATGCCCATTAAGTCTTACTACGTATGCGAACTCTTTCATGATGGTTCCAGAGAATTAATATACTAATAGACATTAAAATATGCATAACTATAATTCACATCACGGCACAATGCAGGTAAAACTACTTAAGTGCCAACTCCTCTATGTATTTGTCACCTTATTTTGCATAATTGTTTTATGGGGTAAGTAACATCAGATCAAGGTCGCAAATCTCTCCCAAAGCATTAAAGATGTACTTAAACTGTTTGATCTGAATTAGATTATATTCATGGTACCTTACTGTATGAAGGCCACACTTTACGATGACGGATCATCAACACTTGCACAAGTTCGTTTTATCAGGATATCGGGGACATAAAGTCAGCACGTGTCTCTTTTTGTGGCAAAACTTTTTCAGACCTTAAATGTTAAATTGCTGGACAAGATTGTCAAATGACACTTCAGAGGAAATAATGTTACCTCGTTTTATTGTTATACAGCTTTAATTGTTGGAAAAAAACTTTAACCCTTTCCGTTAAAACATTCAATTTTCTTTTTCACGTCTTCTATAATTTATCAAACATCATTGTAAACGCCAATATAGATGTGGCACATAATACCCCCTCTGTGGAGTCCTACCCACTATATCACGTATGTATATTACATTGATTTTAATTAAAAAAGGGTATAAAGGCTATCAATTTACCAGGGTCTACCCCCGGAGGTTAACCGGTTGACGAGTGACCGAATTGACCAGATCGCTTGTGAACCCTTGTAATACTATATTATTAGAATACTACAGAAACACATTGTGTTGACGATTTACAAGGCTTTTACGTGTATTTGATTTGAACTGTTGTAAGGCCAAAATTTGATTATTGTTTAATTCAAATGCGTGTGAATTGCTAACTTTATTTCTACCTTGGTTTAGCCTTCATACGACTGAGTAAAAGCTCTCGAATAGTGTCACTTAAAGATTACATTAGAACCATACTTCTAATGACCCTACATAACAAGTTGCTACAACAATCTCGGCGTATTGGCTAACTTTGTGGCTCAGGGGTAGAGCTTCAGAGTCTAGAGCGGAAGGTCCGGGGTTCAATTCCCACACGGGGAATGGCATTTCACACAGTCTCTTTCCCACACGGGGTATTGAATTTAGCACACTCTCTCACTCTCTCCTGGATCGTATTCAGTACTATCGTGTTACACTACAGCTCACTGGAGGGGCGTCGTTACATACTTGTTTTCATCAGTTATACATCAAAATTAAAGATACCAAACCAAAAAAATATTTATTTATCTATTTATTCATACAATATTAAAAAAATTAAAGATATCAAAGTTATACTTCATTATGGTGTTTCTTTGTTAGAATTGTTAAATCAACTATTTCACATCGGTGCAAGAAGTTTGTGACAACTTTTAGATTTGACGCCAAAACTTCGTTTGCAATTTTATTACATCTTTAAAATGGGTGTTTTC